CTTTTTCTACCTTCTTTGTCTCTATGACAGCACGGGAGCGGCTCACCTGATTGGGATGTAGCTCAGGAAACGGGTTGCCCACGATCACAGTTGCCTTTGTCAGCGGTGACACACATCGGGCTCTCCCACCGCCGCCGCTCAGCGGTTTGCTCATCTCTGTGGTGCTCAACAATTGCTGCTCCCCAGAGCTGGAATGGAAACCTTCGGGCTTCCTAGAGGGACAGCTGGATGGAGCTTAACGATGTGGGATACACCCAAAGTTGTATTAGTCGCAGGAGCTGATCCCTTCCTGACGTAAAACTCTTTGAAATACATGAAACGAGGGGTCGCTGAGCAGGAGAGCGCTCTGCACAGCTCACAGGACTGGGCTCCCTGTGATATCCCCGTCTGAAGAGCAGCCAGCCCCCGCCTAGTGAATTCTCAGGGCTGGGAATATCTTCTTGAACACCGCGCTCACCTGCGGGCTATTTGAGAAGTACCAGGGATGTCTGAATATTCCCGTCTAAAATACATTTTTTTTTTCTGTTATTGTGGGTATCGAGGAAACTCAAGAACAACACGGGTTTGTGAAATCATATTCAAGAAGCAGCGCTCTCTTCTCCTGCATTTAGAGCCCCGGTAGTATCACATTCTGTTTTGACAGCTGTCAGAAGTTAAATGAAAGATATTTGGGGAGAGGAAGGCTGAGCTACAGGAGAATTGTTATTTGCAGCGCTCGCCAACAGTTGCAGTTTTCAGTCAGGAACATACATGCTGTCTGTTATTCTGTCTCTTTTCTTCTCCTCTGCTCAACTTTTGTGCCTTTTCTTTCTGCGGCTCTTGTCACGGGGACCGGCGCCGTCCAACCTGTGCACCTTCAGTGGGAAACGTCTGTTTGATTCCTCGCCTGTGAAATGCAGCCTGTGCCCTGCCCTAGTTTTTCTCCACTTTTTCTCCAGTGACTGTCAACTTCCAAACTCCTGCTAGTGCCACTGTCCTCCTTTCATCTCCCAAATTTAAGCTGCGGCTTTGCCGTGAGGAGAAGGAATTGATACTTGCTCTTCCCTTCATTTTTTTTCTTCCCAGCTGACACCATTTATCCTCACAGATTACTGTAGCAGTTTGGTTCTTAACACGAAACGCTGCTAAAGGTCCTTCATTTAGCTATTTACTGTGTTTAAATAAATACGCTCTCACAACGTTAGCTGAACTTGCCGGGGAATTTTCAGACTTAAAGACCGCGATACCTCCTTTGTGTCACACGGTGGCAGAAAACACCCGGCGTATGTTCTTGTGGTGGATCCTGTCGGATTATTTCAGTATGAAGCACTGCATAGAGAATATTTTACTTTGGGAAATGAAGTCTGTTTAATTGTCTGTGCAGGAAGAGCTTGTTTTATGGCGAAGTGATACACATTCATCCACCACTTGCAGAACGTGTGTTAAGGGCGTGTGTAGGATTCACTGAGGTATTACATCTGGCAGTCAATATATAGATGTAACAGTGCAGAAAAGATAATTATATAGCCGGAATATATATAGGCATTTAGTTTTAATTAGGCTTTTGATTAAATATAAAAGTGCAATTAAGAGTGACAGTTACAGTAGATCCTGGTAGACTGCATGACAGTTTTTGGCTCGAAAAGCTCCTGAGCTGATTTTTTTGTCAGACTTGATTTTTTCTAAGGATCTCAGTGACGGTTCTGTTGAATCTTTGATGTGAACTACTCCTTATTCTCTCTCTCTCTCTCTTACTCTGTATATGTGTGCTTATCTGTGTGTTTACAGTATTTCTGTTGGTAACAGATGTTACATTAATTGAAAAGAAAATTATTTTCTTTTAAGGAGAGACAATTAACATTTAGATGTTAGCCAAAGAACTAAGAATTAAATTCGGATTTTTTTGCCTCGGTAATACATTTTAACAGCGTTTTCCCAAGCTTCTCAGACTTTCTTTTCTGAATAATGATACTATTTCTGTGAACATGAAGCATGTGAGCATGAGTAGTTTGCTAACGGCTTACGTATGAGAGACTTATGTAAGTTATAGGAAGGAAAGGATATTATTATGAAAATTTAAAAGTAGGTATTCCAAAATGGCCCTTGTATGACTGACTCTGACACGGGCATGAACAAGTTGCTTTAGGTACCGTGTCTCCTATTGCCCCGAGCTGTTTATGTTAGAAGCCTTAGTTTTGCTGAATGTCTGGGCTGAGATGGGTTTAAACCAATCCTCTGTGCGCTACTTTGGAAAATAAGACCGTTAACTAATTATGTATGTGAAGCTAATTATAGGCTCCTCTCTTAAACAACTTGGCCAGGGTATTTGTCTGTTATCTTAACTAAATAAATCAAATAATCATTACATACAGTGATTGGATAGGGGGAAAAAGAGCAAAAACCTCTTTGGTGACAGTCGGAGTCCCGTGACTGTGGTTAGTCGTAGCTCAGTTGGTTTAGCATCATTCCACAGTGGGTCTGTGAGTCCTTCCAGCGTTCCCCCGAAGTTGTGAGCTGAACACAACAGCTCCTGCCTCGGTCACGAGTCTGAGGCAGGACCTCAGGCAAATCCCCCTCTTCGCTCTTCTTCGGCTCTGTTCCCTCTTTCACTTTCCACCTGCCTTGGTTGCTGACAGCTGCACCACTCCCGAGCAGGACTGTGCCTCTGATGCACGTTTGCGCTGCTCGTAGGTGTTGGGATCCTGCTGGCCCCTGAGGGACACGTTGTCCAGGCAGAAAGAGCTCGCAGTATGCGTGTTGCTGCACTTAATATTCACTGTGGGGACAAAGGGGTACGGCTCCTCCTTGACACTACCGAGGGTGATGGACACTATAGAGGATGAGCCCTGTGGGATGAGGCCGGGCTGGGTGGGGCTTTGGGCAACCTGGGCTAGCGGAAGAGGGGTGGGACTGGATGATCTTTAAGGTCCCCTCCAACCCAAGCCATTCGAGCGTTCTATGATTCTGTAATTTTCTGCACATCAGTAAATCCCCGCGTTTTCATTAAATTGCTTACTTAGGCTCAGGGTTGGAGTCAGCACATTGGAAGGGCTCCTGCAGGCTGCGGTGCGGTGACACAGGCAGCTGTTTCCCGTGTCTCTCTGTTACAACTTGTCATTTTGGTTCACAGTGTGGAAGGTGCGAGAAGTGACAGGACTAAATAAGCACAGAGGGAACCGACTGTTTTATCTGGCCGCGTTAACGAATAAACTGGGAGTGAAGTTAACTTCATGTGAAGCAGTTTAAATTATTTATTTTCGATCCTGGAACCGTACTTAATACGTTGTTAAGGCAGAGCCATGTTGACAGGATGACGTTAATTACGCCACTTGGAAACACGTCGCATTAGCTGAGAACAGTTGTGTGCAGCTATCAGTCATGGCTCTGGGTGAAGCCGCAGCCTTCCCAAACCTTGGCAAACTGTTTCCCCCTCCATCCGTGGAAGTTCCTTCTGCATCCACCTGCAGCTGCAAACTACCTCTTTACTTACAGTGACCAAAAAAAAGGCCTGGAGAGTCAGTCCTGTGAGGATCCAGGGAAGGAGCTGGGAGTGTTCAGGGTGAGGAGGAGGAGGCTGAGGGGAGCCCTCATCCCTCTCTGCAGCTCCTGACAGGACATTGCAGAGAGGCTGGGGCTGGGCTCTGCTCCCAGGGGATCAGGGACAGGACAAGAGGGAACGGCTGGAAACTGCCCCAGGGGAGGGTCAGGCTGGGCAGGAGGAGAAAATGTTTCCCAGCAAGAGTGGTCCGAGAGTGGAACAGGCTGCCCAGGGAGGGGGCAGTCCCCATCCCTGGGGGGTTTCAGGGCCGTTGGGATGAGCTGTGGGGGATGTGGGGTAGGGGAGAGCTTTGTAGAGTCGGGCTGAGGGTTGGACTCGATGATCCCGAGGGCTTTTCCAACCTGAGTGATTCTGTGAAAATACGAAGTTCAATGGTTGTGGATTTCTTTTCTTCCCCTCTCTATTTTTTCTTTTGGTCAGCTGAGTGATGGTGTGATTGATCTCCTCTCCATTAGACGTGGCACATCTTAAAAACGTTACTTCATTCACTGATCCGCCAGCATAAATGCCTACGCTTACTGTTCCTATAAATGCTTTCCCACAACCCCCTTAATGATTCAGTTCCCACTCCTTAATTCATAGCAAGAGTGTTGTGTCCTTCAGAACAGGAAATTACTGCGTCTGGGGTCTCCACTCTCTGCAAAGGCTTTGGCTTAAACATCCCTGCTGAGAACTGGATGGGGCTCGAGTAGCATTTGTATGGATGTGTGCTAATAAAAGTGAGGAATTGACTTTTCCTTCCCTTCTTGTTCAGCATTGCAATGAGTTAAGGACTCCAGAATGACCCAGCTGAGGAGCGCTGGGAATATATCTCCAAGTGAATGAATGGCTGGCTCCTTCGAGCTGCTACATTGCCTTTTTCCAGATGCTCCCGTTCCGTGGCTGATGCAATTGGGGATTCTACTGGGAGAGCGCACGTTTGCAGTGTTGCAAACGGAGAGTTGCAGTACAACTCCCTGACGGGAGGGGGCAGAGAGGGGGGATGAGTCTCTGGAGCCAAGGAATTAGGAAGTATTTCTGTGCAAAAGGGGCTGTTGGGCGTTGGAATGGGCTGCCCAGGGCAGGGGGGAGTCCCCGGGATCCCTGGGGGGGTTGAAGAGTCGGGCTGAGCCAGCGCTGAGGGATCTGGGGGAGTTGGGAATGGTCAGGGGGAGGGTCATGGTTGGGCTGGAGGAGCCTCAAGGGCTTTTCCAGCCAAGATGGTTCTATGATTATGTGATTGTTCATTACAGCCTGAGCTGCGCCTGATAACGTCTAACTCTGTTTGTAGGTTAGGCCAAAGACCCTGATTCCAGACAGCCTCCCCATCTCCCCGTGCAGAGACCAACCTTCCAAGCAGCCTCCTACCTTCCAGAAGGCAACCGTAGTCAGCATCAAAAACCCCAGCCCGGCCCTCCCGACTGCCAATAACACCGTCAGCCATGTACAGACGCCTAACAGCCAGTCACAAGGTGTCACCGAGTCTACAGCTATTTCATCACCTCTGAGCAGTGCAGGTGTGGCTTACGCCATCATTTCCACCTCCCCCAACAATGCAACTCCGATCAGCACCAGCGCAACTGTCTCTGTCGTCAACGATAGCATCAAAGTGCAACCACTCCTCATTAGTGCCGACAGCAAGGTGGGTTCTGCTTCTCACCACGGATTTTTTTTTTTTTTTTTTTTTTTTTGGTTATCAAACAGGGGAATTACATTGCAGATGGAAGCAGAATATTCCCCTGGGAGTGCACAGCCCTGTGCAGAGTGGTGTCAGTGGTTGCTTTTGAAGAAAATAATCAGAAAGCAATAGGAATATTCTTAAGGGGACGCATGGATGCTCATAGACATTAATCTGTGTACAAGCCTATTTTTTTTTTTTTGGTGGGAACAAAATGCATCGTTATGTAGCCTGACACTAATGGGACCGTATGATCTTCCATTTCCTTAAACCAATCCTCACTAATAATATCCCTGAATTCTGTGCAGGCTCAAATTTCCTATGGACTCCCTCTTCAATTATACAGTGATACTAGTTATATCGACTGACCCCGGGGGAGTATATCAAATAATCAGGCATTCCCTTCCACACTTTCGGGGAAGACCAGATGAAATGAGAGCTCAGGGTTTCGAACCTGATCAGCAGATAAATCAGTAGGAAAAAAAAAAAAATCAAGTTGTGAATTTCTTGTTTCCTCTCTGTACTGCTTTCCAGCTTTGAAATGCAAGAACTTCACCACTCTTACACCAGAAACAGATTCAATAAAGGCTGCCAGTGTACCCAGCACACATTCGCTGTAATTTGTGCTGGGATCCTGCTACTTTGGGTCTTGTTGGCAGCACAGGTTTTCATACAGTGCTAAAAAAGAATACAGCACCTAGGATGGCTCTTGAGGTAAATAAGAGCAGGCACCTCTTCCCCACTTCTCTAATATAATTTATTTTTCTCTTACTTAAACTGGCCGTTGGTTTAGAAAACCATCCTTTTTTATGCTCTCGACTCTTCTAGAGCGAGTTTATTGAGATAAAGTATCTAACAATTAACTAACATTGATTGAAAGTTAGCAACAAAATAGATCGAAAAGGCCCAGCGTTCAAATCTAATAACCTTCATCAAGAAGATGAGCTTGAGAAGGTCTTCTGTAGTCCTTCGTGAAGCTTTGATTGTGGGTATGAAGGCACGTGTGTAACTCTATGGTCAGAAATTGTCTTTCACGCCTTTTATTTTAATGGATTCTGAGATAACGTTACCTGCGCTGCATAAATCTTCATGTGGTGTTTTAGATATGAGCAGCTGCGTATGCTGACATACACGCATGTGTAAGAGGTCTGTGTAGTAACTCCTATCGTTCTAAACCAGAATTAATTTCGATTTAAAACACCTATAGTTGGTTTTGTTTATGCAAAACTGGACCTCCACTGCCCGTAACACCCTAACCCTGATCTCAGTTACACGGGTAGTACTGAGGAGTAACTTCCTTCCCATCCACGTGTGCTTACTCCGAAATAACACTGCTGTGACTGAGATCAGACCGTGCTTTTCGGTGGGTAGTAAACCCATCTCTTCTACCTATGTGCAAAATAAAATCAAAGGCAAGGCCTTAAAATCACTGACAGCGTGAGTGCTAAAGCCAGGCTGCTGAGTCAGCTCCAGAAGTCCTCTAAATAGAAAGTGTCCTAATTTTCAGAGGCACTGATCAAACGGCTCCCTTAGGCTGCAGCAGGTTTATAATGCACCGATAAAAATTAAGTTTTAGAAACGTAAGTATGGATTTAGAAGCCTAACCCAGGTACAACTTTTTCTAAATTTTTTTGGCTTGTGATTTGCTTTTGTTGTTTGTAGGGGTATCAAGTAACCCTTCAAAGAAGAAATCAAAGGTTTTGGGCAGAAAAAGCTGGTTTCGTATAGTGAATGCTCTTCTTTTATTTGTACATTTTCTTTTAGGTTATCATTATTCAGCCTCAAGTCCAAACCCAGACAGAAAGTAAAGTGGAGACAAAGAAACCTCCTGAAGAGTCAGCTCAGGGACCCCCTGCTACCAAAAAGAAAAAGGAGGAAAATCCAGAGGTGATCTTTTTTTCTTTTTTCTTTTTTTTTTTTTTCCTCAAATAAGTGAGCTACAGTCTGGTTAAGTTACGGGCACCGATTCTAAACATTTTTCTCTGTGTGTTTGCATTTACTGCATTTGTGCTCGTGGTTCTGCCAGCTGTTCTTCTCTGCCCAGTCACTGCAGTTGGGGTGATCTCCGCCAGTGAGGTGCTCGAATAAGTTTGGTTTGCATCATTCAAACCTCCCAGTGTCACCAGATGTAAGAATTGTAGCTCTCATAATAATCCAGGCGACTTGCGTGGCTATAGCTGTATTTCTTCTGAAAGGTGTATATGAGCTTATGATACTTTATTTTATCAAATATATACCGTCGGGTTTACAGGCTGCGTATGAGGTTGATTTAACGTTTCTTTTGTAAGATGAGCTTTTACGTCTTCCTTGTAATGAATCTTGCAATTTTTTAGATTGTATTTAACAATACAGTTTCTTGCCTTTGCTGTGTACATGAGGTTGATTTAACGTTTCTTTTGTAAGATGAGCTTTTACATCTTCTTTGTAATGAATCTTGCCGTTTTTTAGATCGTATTGAACAATACGGTTTCTTGCCTTTGCTGTGTACGTGTCTTCCCGCATGTACACGGATTCTTCCTAGTCTGAAATACATGAAAATTCTTCAGACTGGGCGAGAGAGTAGAAAGCAGGTTGAAGATTAAATCTCTTTAACGAACTGTATTTGTAGTGTAAAGTAAAAATATAAATCAGAAGCCCTTGTAGAAGTCGGGTTTCTCTTCACCAGGCATTTTGTTTTTCCACCAGATGTATCCACAGCGGGTTGTGTGCACTTTTGAGGCAGTTTGAGAGGTCACACGAACTGAATCTACTTCTGCTATGGGAAAGCTCAGCTCATCCGAAATCTTCACCTTACTAGTCTAGAAAATGTGTAGCACAAAAGAACCTTGGAGCTGTAGGTTCAGGAGGTTTATTACAGTATAAATTTATACTTGAGGAGTGTGGGTGGTCAGTTGTTTTACTTACCATTTTGAGGTTGGTATAGTTAAAACGGTGTTAAGGATAAATACTGGGGTTTAGCCTAGAATGTCACAGCTTTATGCAGAAGCACTGCAGAACTACATTTAGGAAACCTCCCAAGTTTAAAATTTGATCGTCATAGGAATCTTCATAGCAACCAAATGATGGGACTGTAGGGTCCTGTTTTGTTTAGGGAAACGCTTCCAAAAGATTAGTTATGGCGTAGCACCTTAGGGGCAGAAGGGCGAGTAGATCCTGCTTAAAAGCAGAATGCTAGAAAAAAACATCTCTTTTTCTTTGCCTGTATCTTATCCCCACAGAAAGAATATTGAGCAAAAAACTTCCGGAGAGATGCAGGAAGGGACCGTGGGACTGGGCACACTTTTTTTAGCGTAGCGTTCATAAATGTAATGAGCTTTTCATTAAATTGTTAACTAGAATATCCTGACTACCTGTTTTGTAACCAAGAACATTGCTCCTACCGTGTGTCTGGATGTCTTGGCAAGCACCATTTTCTGGGCAGGATGCTGAAGCTTTGCCCTTAAGCAGGACAGTTCTTTATTTTTCATAGATTTGTTCGATGGCCATAAATATCTAGGTCTAGAGTTAATTTCTTTTGTTCTTGGAAAGTAAACTTTAGTTGATTATCATGTATTTATGCAATTAGTGTAATTAGAACTAACAGCATAATTAGTGTAAATACATGTAATGACATAAATAGAACATGTAATTACAAAATGAAATGCTTTTGTAAAAATCTTTGTTTTGCCTCATGAAAAGACACACTGCGCATTTTTAAAAGCACTCGTGGCTTTTGAACAGATGAGTGAATTTAAAGCAAAGAGTAACGAAGATGCCATGATATTTTTAAAAAAGAAAATAGGCGGTCTGTGCACTTCTCTCCATACCTTTATTTATCTTCAAAGCACAAAACTGAGGCACGAGCTCCAATATGGCTCTGCGTGAGTCTTAGTCATGACAGGCTGGGATTTAACAAATCAGATGGAAAATTTAAAACAAATAAACCAGAAATCACCAGACTCACCAGTGGCCGGGAATCCCATATGCAGTTACCGAGTGTACCTGAACAAACAGAAAAGACTGAGGATAATTCTTACCTTTTGTTCCTCGCTCGGCTGTTCTGCTGGGAAGCTGGTTTTTGCTTAAAAGGAGCTGAGTTCAGCACAAAAAGAAAATGGGATTCTGCCCAAAAGTTTTTCCTTTTTTTAAAAAAAAAATCTATATTGGCAAAGTTTTCTCTTTCTGGCAACATTTTTCAGGACATTCTAGCAATCGCTGCCAAGAATGCTGGTTATTTAGCTCACAGTGGTTTTCATCCCACCTGAGAAGGACAAGAGAGACTCATTGCAATTGTGAACTATATGCTAGTGTTAGGCCTGGGCTGAAAATCTGGAGAAACTGAAGCCTCAGTTTTGTCTATTCCTGCACAGAGGAGAAAAAACAGACTCAGTGATATTTGAAAGAAAAGCTTTGCAGTGGAAGTGGTATTTTGAGCTGAATCCAACGAGCTACATGAGTGTGAAATAGCAAAACCCATAAAACCAAATATGCTGTTAATATAATATGCTTGTTAAAAAGAATACAGCTTCTACTGGGATTTTTTTATAAAAGGAACCATCTTTCAAATATCTATAAAAGCTAACCCTTCCTGTGTTTAATAGTGAGATAATTATCAAGTCCATTTATGAAGGCTCTTCATATGTTAAGCAAGTATGCTGTCATTACATTTAATTAGAGCTGTATTCAAATAATTTTAGCATGAAGAGAGGAAATTGTTTAGCAAGCATTCCAGTACTCAAATAATTTTAGTTTAGATGTCAGAAAATGTACGCTCCTCCTACAGTTTAATCTGGGGGCAATACAGGCTTTCCGCGCTCCGTTGGGAAAACACAATTGCACGTTCACCATTCCAACTTCCCGATTCTTTATCCAAATGTTATTGCCACTTCTGCTCGGAGCGGTGGGATGGATCCTGCCACCAAGTTCCCTTTTGGTGGGGGTGAAGTGAAACTTTTACTTCTGCTCAGTTGACTAATTTTCTTCTCGGATCTGCACGGTGGATCCCGGATCAAATATCCATCTTCCCCTTGAGGTGTGGGGCCCCCGCTGTGTCTAGCTGGTGTTTTAGACATGTGAGGAGTGAACCCTGTTGAAATCAAGGTCTGACATGCAAATGAAGACGTGTGCTTGTCATTACCACACTTCTGGAAGGCAGAAATGTGGCCTGAATATATCTAAACTGCCAGTGGTGAGATTCTACGCCACCATCTTTTAATCTACGGGGAGAGTTACGCACCAGGAGACTGCGGGAAGGAATATTCCTGTCTTAGGAGGTTGTTAGCTCACCTGTTCGACAAAGATATTGGCACGGACGTCCAATCCTGACCCTCAGATTTTGAAGCACCCACCCCACAGCTAGCTCTTTTAATTTAAAGAATGAGGATGTGCTTGCCTTCACAGTTTCACGGCGTGAAAAGTCAGAATTGCGAAGGAAATGGCAGTTCCAGTGACTTTCTAGTTGATTTTATCCTGAACTGAAATGAAAAATTGAATCATCAGGCTTTTCACAAAACAAGAAGGTCAAACTAATTTTGACTTGGAAGTGTTGAAATGTGTTCTCCTGACTCTTCTTTGATTGAAACAGAATGTTTTGACCTTCCACTGCTTAAACACTGTGGTTTAGTTTGACCTAAACATACACATTTTATTTGGGGCGAGTATGATATTTGCATCTTCTCATGGTCTTTGGATGCTTTATCAGAGCTGGAGTGTTGGCTTTGCTTGATTGGATATACTAGAGCTTGGGTTTTGTAGTCAGACTGTCTCTCCTGTGGAATTGCACCTCGTGAAAACACGATCCAACAAGATTGTTCAGCACAGCAGAAAGAGGAGAAGATCCCCACATTACCACAGATTTGACTCAAAACCAAGGAGTTCAGTTCCGTTTGGAACAGCACAGCAGAATTTGTTTCCCATCGAAAAGATAGAATAAAAGCTGCGGCAAAACTTTCCCTTCAAAGGAAAATTTTCCCAATGAAAAATCACTGACAGAAAATTTAGAATCTGCTCTAGTACTTGCCCTATTACTGCGTCAGCATGTTTTGAAGATTTGTCAGAATGAAGATGTATCTTGTGCATATATAGTGTGCAAGAGTTCTGAGTAATATTTTAGATCAGATTCCTCATTGCAAAACGAGTTCATCGGTGTCAGGAGATGTTTGTTCGCTCCTCATGGAGGGAAAATATTGGATCGGTGTACCTCTTCATAACCCATGCACACGATACTGCTCCTGGAACTTGGGAAGGGAAACTTCTGAAAGTGTTTTTGGGAGGAGGGGGACCTTCAGTATGCTTCAGGTGTCTTGTTTAGTGTTGTAAAGTTCAGTGGAAGCGTACCAGTGTTTTACTTCGGGCAGCTTGCTCACGTCCAATGAAAGCAGTGCCATGTCCGGATAGGAATAATAATACACAATGACTTCTCTAAAGAGTGAACTAACAAAGCAATTGATTGAATTAACTGAATTTTGATCATGCACTGTATAAAATCAGTAGTCATACAGCGTTGGCTTCGTAAGTCTCTGAACTGCTGAAGTTCGTGTAAGTCTTACAAGTAGGACGTGACTGACCCAGGCCTATCTGGGGCAGATCTTCAGTTCAGGTTCTTCTTCTTACTGTGCATTCAGATAAGGTACATTCCTAAAAGACCTTTACTGGGTTTATTCCGTCAATGCTAGACTTATTTATTTACTTACTTCTACCATGATTGTTGTAGTAGAAAATCTAACCGCTGTTTATTTTTTCCCTTAGAAAATTGCCTTCATGGTAGCATTAGGACTGGTTACAACAGAACATTTGGAAGGTAAGATGGCATATGTTGGTTTACAGGGCAGTTTTGGGGTGAAATCTTTTCTCTTGGCTGCTCTGCAGCTAAGAGGAATCGGTGATTCTGTCCTCTGAAGGGCGATGACAGATCAGGAGAAACGTGATCTATACACAGTTGTGCTTTTCAGCCTCAAAATAACGGGTGATCTTCCTTTGCTCTGCCTCCCGTCCCATCGCACAGAGCTCGAGGGCCTTGAGAGCTGGCTCTGTAGGCAGCACCAGCAGGCTGGGCACGAGCTGGCGTTTGGGCTCACTCGGTCACTACGGTCCTTTAAAGGATGTTTAACGACAATCAGGGAGGTGGTGGAGTCACCCTGAATGTTTAGCTGAGACGGGCCGTTGGGATGAGCTGTGGGGGGATGTGGGGTAGGGGAGAACTTTGTAGAGTCGGGCTGAGGGTTGGACTCGGTGATCCCGAGGGGCTTTTCCAACCTGAATGGTTCTGGGATTCTGTGAACTGGAGGATGCTGGTGAAGCAAAAAGCCTGCAAAGGCGCTGAGAAGCAGCGATTTGGTTGAAGAATCAGCGAGGTTCAGAGATCTTTATCCAGATCTTCCGTAGCAAGCACACCCTCTCCTCTTTCCCCACGTGGGATGGACTTTCATCTTTGGAGTTAATCCTCTCTGGAGTTCCACAGAATAAATCAGTGTCAGCTGACAACGATTCCTGATCACAAAAAACCCGTTAATGATAATTGACATTTACCATCCAGCCCATGGACCATCAGCAGCAAAGTACAGAGGAATTTTCCGTGCACTGAATTTGATTTCTGTGTGCCTTAGAGTCAGGCACGTGTTCAGATACCTGCCTGACTCTGGAGGTATCTCCCAGTTCACAGATTGATTTATTTTTAGTCAGATTCTCTGTGCTCCTGTTCCTCGGTTTTGGGACAGGTTGTGAATTAGGGAGAAAACAGCATCATAACTGTAAGGTCACTTCAGTAGATGCATGAGGTTTTCTGTGGGTCTTGCTGCCTTTTTTTCAGCTTTTTTCCGCTTTAAATCTGCATTTTAGAAAATCGTTTAATGTCCCAGTGACTGAGAATTTGAAAGCAGTTTAAAGAAACTTTAAGCCAACGGCCTTTTTAATCCCTGAGTGGTAATGGATTGAAATGGAAATTAAAAAAAAAAAAAAGCTACAGCAATTTTGGGAGAAGATTTCTAATCCAGAAAGTGCAAATGGTGACTTGTTCTTGTTTTCTTCGTCTAAGGAAAATAGGACAACATTTGAAATCACGCTGAAGTGCAAATTATGCTTACAACAGAGAGAACTTTATTTTGAATCGTTCTTTACCCTTTTATTTTATTGGAACTAATAAACTGTTGGTGTGGGTTTGATGCTTATGTTGCAAACACCAAGTCCCGCTCACTCTCTCCTGTTTGTTCTACAGTGAGTGCAGAGATGCACGTTTTGAACCCAACTGCTACAATACTCATCCTGCAGAATCAATTCTTACAGACAAATTCACTTTTTATATTCCTACTGCCTTTAAATAAATGGCTCCCATCAAGAGATCCCCTTCAGGGTGGATTTCTCTGTCAGCCCAGCAGCCTTTCCACCTCATGTCCAGAGAAGCATCTTTCCCCTTACTGGGAAAAGAGCTCTGGCCTACAGAGCCCGGGTGTGAGGCATCTTTGGAGGCTTTTGCCAGTGGATGAACCCAGCTGCTTCCACTGAGTGACATTCTGCAAGGTGCAGCTTTCCCTGAAGATAAATTGTCATTGCGTGCCCCAGAGAATGACTGTACGGGGTGTTTATTGATGAAGGCAGCAGCTTATTGAAGCTTTGCTTCCAACATAAAGCTATCTTCAAAATTTATTCGTCCCTGTCAAATGTATTACAGTTTAGAGGGTGGGTTTGTTTGGTTTTTTTTTTGTGTTTGGGTTATATTTTTTAAATTAATAAACTAAGGAATAAAATAGCCCAATTCAGCAACGCAGTGCATGGTTGTAACGTACTAAATCGCTTTCTCTAGCCTATTAGAACACCTTTTAGCATTACCATTGTGTTAAAAAAAGAAAAAAAAAAAAAAGAAGAAAGCTAGAAAGCAAAACTTTAAAAGAACTCTTTAGGTGAGGCCATCCTAAAAATACACGTCTTGGTTTACCGTAGCAAAATGAAATATTTCCATCTAGCTTACTGGAATGTTTTAATCAGTTAACCCAAATTTATTTTTACTTTATTAATCCCTGTTTTGAAATAATAGGCAACAGTTTTTAGCAGAAGTAACAAGTAACAGAAGATAGTATGCCAGCACACCCTTTTGTTCTGTCTTGGCGTGGCTGTTGACAGACCCGCTCTCAGATGGACATACTCCTTTTATCACAAACATGGATATTTTGTGTTCACAGTTTCCATAAATAAAGTGCTGACATTGTGCTCTCCCTCCCTGATGGCTGCATAGGGTGCAGCATGCCTGGAGCTGTTTCAGTTCATTACTCTCTCTCTCTCTGTCTCTCTTTCCATTTATTCTCACTGCTGTTAGTTCCCCCCCGCCCTCCCCAGCCTGTTTTTATCTCTGTACCATAGCGATGCCTCTTCCAAAGCTGCTTTCCAGGTATCTACCACGTGTGTGATTCAGACCCCATCAGATATTTCTGTTGCCTTGGTGAGAGCATGTACTGAAGAAATTCTCTCTTAAACCTGGGACCCGAAAGGGCAGAGCACTGCTGATCCATCACAGTCCTCTCGTGAAGATGCTTGGCCCAGTTACGGACACAGAAGGCTCTGCAGTGTCAGATTCTTTGTTTCTTTTTCTGGGCCAGTGAAAAGGCACGATCTTCTGAAAAGCTGAGCCTGGGCTGCCCTGTCTCCAGCTTTTTCCCTGCAAGGGTGCTGTGACGCCACAAGCCCTGGATTCACAGACCGCATAGTGTGGGTTTGTGAGCCTGGCTGCAAGAACCACGGCTCCAGCTCACCCTGTTGAAACCAAAGTAAAGAGTCATCAGAGGGCCACTTCTTCCATTTCTGTGCCAGCCTCAAGCCACGTGGTTCCTCTGCCCTGACACCTCTGTCACTGTTGGCCTCAGAGCATTCCCCACGCGAGAACGGACACATCAAGAGCAACCATTCCTCCTCTGGTGGCTCTGTGGCAGGCTGCTGAGGCCTGATTCCTCTTAGAGAGCACCAAAGGGTCTGGACGCTTCGGGATGGAGCTGGGACTTCCCACAGGGAATGCCATCACCGTGGGACAGAACCGTTGCCCATACAAGATCCTGGGGGCTGGAGCCTGCGTAGCACCGAGGATGTTACGGAGATGCTGGCAGGGGTTGCAGCCACGGTGTTTATTGCTCATCTCAGCGTGGCCTCGGCCCACACGTTTCTTGGGGCTGAGATTCTGCGTAGCGTATGTCTAGCTCCTGTCAGAGGGTGCCTACAGACCTGCCTGTGCTCTTTGAAGTGCCCCTGGAGAAGACACCTTCTGAGCCTGAGAGGTGACGTGTTCCTCTGCCAGTGGGAAAACCCAGCCAGAATATGCAAGTAGTTGCTCTTCTGTTTTTCTTGTCGATCCAGTTTCCTTCTGATAGATCCACCACTCCAAGAGTGGCGGCTTGGCCGGCAGCCTTTTGTGAATGAAAAATTTCAAATCGGTATCTTGGAACTCAGGCCAGTACAAAACCCATGCAAAGTGTTGGCCTCATCCCTAGGGACACCACATCCAAGACATGACTGACAGTACTGATACCATTTACCGGAGCAACGCTTGAAGGGGTCCGTGGGCCCTTTTACTCTGTGGGGAAGGGATCAACGTTTGGAAAGAGTGGCTGGAAACCAGAGCTGTGTCTTGGGAATCCAACTCCTATGTATCGTAAACATCCTGCAAGCCAGACTGTATCTTTCTGTTGGGTTGCAAGTGGGAGATGGTGCTCAATATCCTGAAGGCCATTTTCTGGTGCTGAGGATGTCCTGAACTCTTTAGCTCAGACGTTGATGAAAAATGCCAGACCTCTGCGGAACCAAACGGTGTTCTTAGTTCCTGTTGGGTGTGCTCCTGGTCCTCTGGGCTGAAGAGCTAGTGCTCCTGCCAGTTCTTCTCCTTCTGAGATTTACTTAGAGCGAGACAGAACAAAGGTATCACCGTCACAGGGGCATTTAGACTAACAGGATCCCTCTGGTACCTCAGTGCAAAGTCTAAACTTTGCCTTACAATATTGACGTACAAAACATTTTGGAATAGAGCATCAGCCCAGCTGTGCACACTTCATGTCACGGGGTGGCTGCTGGGCGGCTCTCCTTGTTAAAGTATGTCTGCTCGTACTTTATTATTAAAATGAAAAGTAAGCTCCGAAATAACACGGTTGTAATAATCTCGCCATTCCGAACTGACGTCAAGAGCTGGAGGAAGAAATTCCGTACGACGGAAATGAAATCCTAGCTCAGGTCAAAGTAGCATTCGACCTGCAGGTCTCAGTGGTCGAGGGATCCGCTCCCCCTCTCCACGTGTGTTTACGGAAGAGGGCACGTGCCTAATCGTTTCTAAATCCTCAGCAGGTTCCGTCTGGAATAGGTGTTCCCGTTTAGCGGGAGGGAGCTCTCTCGTGTTTCACCGTTTTCTGAACAGGGCTGCAATTTGGTGAGCTGCTTTTTGCGCTGCTGTTTCCAGTGACACCAATACATGTACGGCGCGTAACAACATTTTGCGTGCTCAGGATCATGAGGTTGTATGTTTTTAGGTGGATAAATCATCACTCCCTAGTTAGAACCGAATCTAGCCGTGGCATTCTGGCCGTGCTTTTCTAACCTCTGCAGAGAAAAAGTAATGTAAATGCAGTTTTAAAGGATTTCTGTGTTTTCATCTGATCTGAATTACAAGGCTTAACTGCTGTAGATGCTTCATTTTTGTTAAGAGCAGACAAGGATAGCATTTTGAAAGCTCTCTGTTGATGCTTGCTGAATATGTGCCTGAAGGGATCGTAATAAAAATCTTGCAGGGTAGCAGAAGTCCACCTTGGAGGAAGGCAAAAAAATAAATTAAAAAAAACCTCGTGTTCTGTATCTTAGAAGGAAAAGCTTATTAATGGCAAACCTTGAACCGCAGCAAATACCAGTGCTGATGCAACCCAATTATACTTTAGAAACTGAAACTGAACACAAAGCCCAGGGGGTTGAGGGTAAGAGCATCTTGCTTAACAAGTTAGATCTACATTTTTCCCTGATGAATGAGAAACGCACAGTTCACCTTTCTTTCCATGGTTACAGAAATCCAGAGCAAGCGTCAGGAAAGAAAGAGAAGAAGCACAGCAAATCCAGCCTACAGTGGACTCTTGGAAACAGAGGTACTTTATCATTCACTTTTTTCTATTTCGCGTCAATAAAAGGTTTAAGCGTTTATTTAAAAAGTGTGTATATAAATGCAGAACCACACATTCACTTGTAAAGAGAATCTGATGTGGAAAAGAAGGAAAAGATCTCGTTGCAGCAGCTAAGCAACAGGTTTTCACCCCACAGCATAACTCGCTTCAAACTAGACTTCATCTTAGGTTTAATAAAGGCCAAAAGGACTAAATTAACGTGGGACCTAATTACTCTTTCACCCCCGCAGACAGTCCCTTTAGGTCAGAGCTGAGGAACAGAAGTGCTGCGTTGCGTTCAAACTTGCATTGCTCTTTCTCTTTCCCGATGCGCCAAATAATAAATGGAGAAATTGGGGTTTTTTTATTAGTGACATTCATAAAAGGGATGTGTTGGTTTTAAGAATCAGCGTGCTCTGCAGGGGGTGTGGAAGCCTGCATAATATAATAATGCATAATTAAAAAATAAAACGCTCTGGATAATCTCTGTTGTCTGTTATGCTGTTACATTTTTAGTAGGAGCAAAATTTGGTCCTGCATAATGTTGGACTGCAAACCTGGTGTAAAAGCAGCATATAAATGGACGTAACTTCTCCTGAAATAGTTTTTTTTTCTTTGTTTCTGAACTGAATATATACATTATTTGGCTTATTAAAGATCCACCTTTAAAATTTCACCACAGTTTGGGGTTACTATTTGAACTTCCTACAGGGATGAAACAAATTTGCAGCCAGCTCTCCCCTTAAGCAAGATTCCTCTGAGTTCTTTCAGCCTAAAGAAAGTGATTTTTCTTTATTTAGGCACAAGCGATGCAGAATTTTTGGTATGCCAGCATTTCAGATTTCTGTGTTTGTTGGCAGACATCAGACAGATGAGGCTAAGAAAAACTTAGAAACACTGTAGTCAAGCTGCTTAGTGGCTTGATTGTTCTTTTTTGAAAGTATTGGAGATTTTTATACTCCAGAGCGGCTCTGGGCACCTGAATTCTTCAGAACTCCTCAGCTTTTCTCTGGTGACCTCCTCAGAGCAAATACTGATGTCCATACATCCAGTATTTAACACAGCAGGAACTTTAGCCTCGCTAGCGTTAAATTTGTGGTGTCTTCTCTTAGATCTTTTTTTCTCCCGATGAGTTTATTAAAATACTTGCAGTGGCGTTCTGTGGCTGTAGCCTGATCGATGTTCGTGAGAAACTCAATTATCTTGGAGCAGGGATGGAGGAGGTGATGGAGGAGGTCTGCTGCACCCCTGGTTCATACTTCTCATTATATCTATTCTCAAAAGCCTATCCTGAAGTGAAAGATGGCATGGAGAAAGAAATGTCTGTGAAAGAGTCCTGTGGCTGATCAGCTGTGTCCTCATTAGGGGCTGTCATTAAGTACTGACCATGGGGAATGCTGTTCGAGTGAAATGGAGGCAGATGGTTTTTCTCTGATCAATTAGCTGCTCAGATTGATTTGCTAATCAGTGAGTTGAGGTATTTTGTGGCATTTCAGGCATTTTGGTGCCGTTTAATTTACGGTTAGTCTGCTGAATGATCTTTAATTCATGATTGTTTAAATTGAAATTGCATATAAATTAGTCTTTTTATTTGCCAACGCCCCTCAAAACGGCAGGAGCTCGGCATCTGTAGTGGTGATGTTAACTTCCTTGATTACAAAAATGTGATCACGGTCTTACGTCTTCACTTGGACGTTGTGCTTTTTCTTTCCAGACCGTTTTCTTTAAAAAAAAAATTGAGATATCATTCTGTTTTCTCACTTCTTTTGTTGTCGTCGTTGTTGTGGGTTTTTTTTTCATAGGAAAGGGTTAAATTTCAGGCTAGGTATTTTCTGAAGGAAGAAACATCTATTCAGAATTCATTAACAGACTGGCAGGCACCCATGTATAGGAAAACAGTTTACTCGCCACAGAATAAATCATTTATTAGGAAAAACCCTCTAATTTTCCTCCGAGCAGAGTCTAACAACATCTAATGGAGGAAAACGGTAGTTTCCAGCCCCGCCGTACAAGTATTGGATGGCTCAGAGAAACAATTAGGGGTTTTATAGACCGTTAATGAAGCCTGGCTTGCTATTGACCAACAGCTTTTACCATCTGACAAGTTGGGGATGGAGCTGCATTAGATTAGTTCAACGTCTCAGTCAGGTTTCCAGCGGTCTGTGTTGTAAGTTTAAAAATCCTTGGTGACCTCAGCAGAAATCCCTGCCCGTTCCTAGAGGTTGGACGCGTTAACTTCTGAAAGCAAAGCGTTTTGCTTCGGCACGAACGCGTTGCTTGCACACGGATTGTGTTCCCGTGAGCTGTAGGCAAGGGTCACATCACAAGTTAGTGATGTTTTCCTGCAGGTGGGTAGTCCATCACCATTTCTATATACACAAATAAAGGTGTCGCCTCACAGCAGCAATTTATTACGCAGTTTTCCCCTCACGGACGTTGTTTATCTGCTGCTCTTGGAGCTACTGTCGCTGTTGCCTTGCTCTTACTGACCTCTGCAACGTATCCTGCAACCCAATCAATAACTTCTGCAATTTGCATTTCTCTCTGGTTAATAAAATTTAACTGCTCTGTGAAGGACTTGGTAGGAAGGTAGACAACGCAACCGCTTGTACGACTCTCTCAGGGGTTAGCAGTGAATATTCTAAGTCGTGGAACTGCCTTCTGGATAGCTGGTTGTGTGTGAGGGTGGTTGGGATGAGCTGTGGGGGGATGTGGGGTAGGGGAGAACTTTGTAGAGTCGGGCTGAGGGTTGGACTCGATGACCCCGAGGGGGTTTTCCAACCTCAGTGATTCTGTGAAGCTCATGGAGATTGTTCATATGAAAAGCTAAGAGACAACCAGAGCACTTTCCAGTGACACTGTGGTTGGTTTCTTTTCCCTTGTAGCGGAAACGCCTTGCATCAAATTATTTGAATAACCCCTTGTTCCTTTCAACAAGAGGTAAGCATATTTTTTAAATGAATCTACTGCTATTGTAATGACATGTTAAATATTTATTAGTAGGATTTCATCTGAATTACTGCTGTGGTACGATAGGGCATTACTTTGTGTAAGGTCCCGGCATTTTTTCGTGTGCAGTGAAAATAGATGGTTTTCCCGCAAAAAAAAAAACAATTGAAGGATAAGGCTAAAGGTCAAAACTGTGTAGAAATGGAGCCAAAGTCTCTGCAATCAGCGGAAAATCAGATCTCTAGTATTGTAAGCACCGTGCAGTGAGAGGACTGATTGAAGAAGGCAGTGTGGCCAACCCCAAGTGCTTCAAAATATATACTGAAGAACTGGGATTTTAAAAATAATTACTATTCTGGGCTTTTCATTTGCCTCTTTTCATTAGCTTGAAGAAACTGCTGTCCATCCTCAAGGGCTAGAAACTTACCCTACCTTTTGCTTTAAAAACGGTACCTGAAAACCACACAGTTTTTCTGACTCCAAGAGCTGGAGCCATAAATCTAGATATGATGGCCTTGAGGATGACTTCCAGTCTTGCGTTTCTAAGAACTTCAGAGGCTGAAAATTTCACGGTAAAAACCTTGAGAATTAGCAACTCGGAGGAGCCATTTGGGGACAGTGACGATTAGCTCATGCGAAGAAGCCCTTTCTAGGAAAAACGTGCAACATACAGCGAAGGGAAAGATTTGGGAGGTGGGAGACGAATTGCAGAGATCCTTGAGTACAGTTTAATTCTTCAGATGAGGCCCATGTAGGATTTTAAGAGAGAAAGTGAGAATCTTGAGTTGCATTTCAGGGGAGAAGAGAAAGCCAGTAAAGAAATGGAATTATGTCCTTGCCCTCGTGTTGCCTTTATAACTTAGGGTCTTCTGTGGTACGTTAGAGGTAGGGGAAGATGTTTGGGTTTTTTTTCTAAGCTAAATATTATTTAAATTGCTCAAAAGGAGAATTTACAGGCATAATTTCAATTAAGACACGAACTTTTGACAGTTTTTCCGCTTTTGCTTGATATCCCTGCGGAAGCGTCATCTTTAAGTGCTTGAGATTCAGCTTGCTGGCTCCTGCCTTGGAATTCCTGTGCCACAGGATCACCAAGGGAAATGCAGCAGCACTTCTCTCTACCTTCAGACTTCATCTGCTAGATGCAGACAGTCGGCCTGCTCACCATGCACCTCTAATGCAGAGGCCCTCAGAGGACAAGGGGGGTTATTGCACGGCACACGGCGGTGGTGACGTCCCTCTTAGTAGGAACCCATGCTCATGTAAGCCCCAGTGGAAAGAGCATTATTCCTGGCTTAGTTTTATCTTCAGAATTAAAATTAGAATTTATTATTTGTCTTATCACAGCACTTGTTTTTCCCATGTAAAACACATGGGAAAAAAACAGGAGAGAATGGCAACGTTAGCAAGGCGTGTCGTTAGCCCCTGGGCGGATTTCATTTAAGTTAGGGTCTGATATCTCTGACCTTCTTCCCACCACGTATTTCCCATTTTATTTGCGAGGAAGTAGGAGAGTGACAGTCTCAGAGACGCTTGGAAATCAGCACTCTCTCTCCATAATTGTTAATTCCTCTTCAAGCCCTCTATCTTTGATTTTGTTGTTTGGTTTTTTTTTTTTCCAGCATCCAGAATCAGGGCTGGGATTCTGCAGATTGAGACAATTTTAAGCTGGGCTTCTTTAGAGCAGAACTGCCCACCTCTGGAGGGGTTTGTGAGCTGCACCAGGTGCCGTTGTTTGGGATGCTGGGCAAGCTCTGAGCTGAGGACCGACGCTGTCCCCGACAGCTCGGCACCACAGTGATGTGTTGTCCACCCTCAGTGCAGAGCCGACCGCCCCTTCTTTCATAAAAAGCTCCTTTAAAAAAAAAAAGTTGTCTTCAGTTTAATTTTTCAGAAGGCAGAAGTGGACGTATTTTTAAATGTTTGCAACTTTATTGTAAAAGTGAGCTGAAAAGAGAAATAAACAAACTAAAAAAAAAAAAAACCCTGTGAAGCACAGGAAACAACCGTCATTTCCAGAAATGCAGAAGAGAGCAATTCTTGTAAGTTTTGAGCAAAATGTCAATTAATCAGGATTCATTTATCTGAAAATGTCTTACCTGAAATGAGGTCACATCCCCTGACATGTATCATTTGTAGGAAAGACTCTTTAATTATCAAGCCAGTGTTTATCTGAACAACATTTATATCCCCTGAGTAATCACGGTGTCGTAGCGCAGTGGATCTCCGTGTGGGTATTTGTGTATATGAAGTGACATCTACAGATTTTATAAGTCTGATTATTTATGGAACTCATTGCCAAAGGATGCTACAATCGTTGGGAAAAGCAGACAAATTTATGGAAGGAAAAAAAAAAAAAGGTCTATCTAAGGCTGTTAAATATAAAAATGAAGATGCAGACTCGGGGTTAGGGAAGCCCGTGAGCTGCTGGCGTCCGGAAGGATGCTTCTGGAGTAGAATTTACTCTGTGCTTGCACTCTGTGCACGAGTGGCAGCACTGGATGCTGTTAGCAAAGGACCCTTTGATCTAATGTAGGTGAAGCTGTTCCTTCGTTCTTATGTTCTTTGTACACGCGCGTGAGGTCCGAAAGCGTTCGCATCTTCACAGGCATGCACGCATCAGAGTCTAACAGAAGTGTGCAACAGCAGGTTGGGCTGTGTGTGAGGGATGGCCCCGGGGCAGCTGTTATTCCCCTTGTGCATCGGGCAGCTGAAGAAGGACGGAAGGACAGAAATAATTTGGTTTTCTCCACTTTAATCCAAAGAAGGGCCTCTCCACCGGCTGTTTGTCACTGGGACACTGTGCCCCAGCCTTTCACGAATCAGCAGCAAAAAATTACAATCTACTACGTGGTTTTCATAAAGCCGTTAAAATTGTCTGGCTTTTTATTTTTGGACCGAAGCGTGACGAATTTCCCAAATATTTTTATGAAAGGCTTGGCCTGCTTTCCAGTGAGCTCTGACGGTTCTTGTCCTTATATCAGGTTGCGCATGCAATCACTACAGGCCGAGTTCATCAAAAGGGCAGAAAATCTTGGCGTTCTGGGTGGGAGTAGTTTGATGATAAAAGGGTTGATGATAACATAAAGCTCACTCCCACAAGTGGCTGACCATTCTGGCCAGGAATCAGCTGAACATTTAAACATGTGTTTAACGGTAAGTCAGTGGCACCAATTTCATACCCCAAGTTAAGCGCCTGCTTAAGTGCCTTGCTGGTCCAGGGCCAGACTGTTCATCACCCAGCAGGCTGAAGTCTTTAAGAAAGACTTTTTGACTACGGGCATGTGGAGAGGAGCTTTGCATGGGAATTTCTGAAAATTCGGAACCGGCTGTTGCTTCTCATACGATGGCGTTTTAGCATCAGACCTTTGGAGATGGGATTCCTGCTGTGTACATTTTTAAAATCTCACATGCTAATTCCACCGCTTGCTGTCGCGTTCTTTCCTGCCCGCGTTAATTTTGGCAGCGTCCTGATCTCCTGTGTCACAGCTTGACTAAAATGACCCCCATAGCTGATAACATTCACTGCAGCGATGTGTTTCCCACTAATCTGTTCTCTGCCCTTCTTTCATGTGCTAGCAAATGAGGATCCGTTCTGGAAGGTACGTGTAGCAAAATTTGGTTATTACCAGTGTCTTTCTCATCCCCGTGTAACTCAGTGCTTGCTTCTGATTACTGCAGTCTCCATCAAGGTACAAACCTGCCGTATTGCCTTTGCCTTTCATGCTGCTTGCGCAAAACGTTTCCTGCTTAACTAAATCTTTGAGCCCCAAAGTTAGAAACCCAAAGTTAGAAATCCAAATTCATATGCAAGGCCTGAGTTTCATTCCTTTGTGGAGTCCACTGATTGAGAAATTGCTAGTCCAGATCTGTGGTTTTAATGAAAATTTTTAAGAAAAACGAGGAACGATTCTAGTATGTGTAGATTAAATCTATTTACATTGAGGTTAAAATTAAGACTTTTTGAGCATTTCTAAGGCATAATATTTTGGAGAGGGATTTTTTGACAGGACTGAGTTAGAATTTAAGATACAAGCCTGACTAAAACTATCATGGAACATTATAATTAATTATCCCTCTAAATGAAAATATTCTTTTGGAATTAACAAAGGTACAAAATTATTATTCTCCTTCCTAGAGAAGCACTAGGAGAAATTGGTGGGTTTTTTTTAATGCTTCACAAGCCATGAGAGTTTCAAAATCAGTATCTCCTTTATTAAAATGCACTTAATTATACAAAGAGTAATTAACGTTGCCACCAGATTAGCATAGCAATTGACTACATGACATTGTAACTTTGTTGATGAGTCTTGCTTCATTTTATATATTGCTTCAGACAAAGTACTAATCAGTCTTGTTGGAGAAGGGTTGTCAGAGCAAGTCTGAACAGAGAACAATTAGTGCCAGGGAGAGCAGAGGGACGGAGGAGCCCTCCAGAGGAGTTCACCACAGAGGGGACGTCGCGAACCCTCGTGCTCGAGTACTGTTCTCCTTCCCGCTCTTCGAGGCAACGGCCATAAAACGTGGAAAACGTTTTCCCCAGAAGCTTTTTCTTGCCTTCCTTCCTTCTGGTTTGGACTCGAAGGACAAGTGATCCCCATACTGACTTTGACCCCAGGCTTCTGAGTAGAGCTGTGCGTGGTAACGCGTGTGTTGGGGTGACACATGATCAGAAACAAGTGAAATAATTCCTGCGTCACAAGCTGGCTCTATTCATTGGCCAACTCCCTCCTGTGTTTGATTAGTTGGTTTTTATTTTTCTATCTGTTTCGGTTTCTGAAACTTGCTCCTGGCTTGTATTTCTTGCTAGCTATTTCTGTCGTCTTCTACAGCTGTCGGGGTCCTCTTGACAATTAGATTTTGTGCTGGAGTGAGCCTGTCTGCTGCGGCAGAGGCTCTGAATGCTGTAGAGAGAGAGAAGTTCTCAATGGATTGACTTCACCCAAGCCATCCTCCTTCTTCTCTTGCAGAATGAGATCCACCACGATGAACACTGCACTGCTTGCAAGCGTGGCGTGAACTTGCAGCCCTGTGGCACGTGTCCCAGAGCGTATCACCTCAACTGCTTGGACCCACCCCTCAAAACTGCCCCCAAGGGGATTTGGGTCTGTCCAAAGTGCCAACAGAAGGTAAGCTACACGGAGCATAGAAAATAAAATGGGAGAAAGCTCAAATTTGTGTGCCACTAAACTAATCTAACCTGTGGTCACAGCTTAGGGGACCACGTTAGCTAAAGTAGTACTGAGAGGCTTTTAGTACAGTTTGAAGCATTTATTTCTGGTATTTTCATCATCCTGGAGGCAGAACATACACTGAGTGCCTTAGCTCCCCTGTAATCACACCTGCTGAGATCTGTCCTTTTAAAATGTTTCTTCCATTCCTTTGTTTCCCTTCTTTACAGCAAAGCCACCAGCACGTAGGGTTGCCACACAGGTAGTGTAAATCTGACAGAGGAGGGAGACAGTGTCAGGAGGAGACAGTGTTCATCAGCGGGTCTGAAAGCTGTGAGGACAACACTTCCTTTTCTTTAGATCGAGTTTCTTACACAGAACTATTAATCATAGTCATGTCAGAAATGATAATTTGTGTAGCTGCTGTGAATAATGCTGATTGCATGAAGAGGAAAACAATAACTAAAAGAGTACAGTGTCACTGAATGGGAGAGTGGAGGCTTAGATTTTGGGCTCTTTGTGTTTAGCATTGAGATCACTGTTACGTTCCCCTGAAAAGGTCGAGGGGAGGTTGTAGCAAGCAGTTGCAGGGAGCAGTGCAGCTCGGGATTAGGTCCGTGCTGTCGTGTTTTCATACGGACCAGCATCTTCTCCCACGCCGAGCAGGAAACGCTCCTGGTGGTGTGGAAATCTGCGTGTCGGGGCCGCAGAATGTCTTCTGGCCGCAGCACCGAGGAACGGAGTGTTTGTAGCCCCCTTTTAGCGGTTTGGTAGAGCTGTTTGTAGTGATGTGTGAAGGAGTAAGCCCCAATGGAGACAGCTACTTAAATTATTCTCTCATTACTTTTCAGCTTGCAGATTCTGAGACAAGGACTCTAGATCCGATCCTGCAGAGCTGTGGGGCTGGAGGAAGAAAAGCATTAATGTGTGTCTTTGTGGAGTCCTAACTGTTTATTGTTTCCTGGGCTTGCAGGTGTTAAAGAAAGACGACAACGTGCCATGGACTGGAACTCTGGCAATTGTGCACTCCTATGTTACTCATAAAACAGGTAGGGATTCACGCAGCTGTTGACGAGGCGTTCCCTGCTCGTGCTGGGAGAGGCCATCGGAGTCCTTTATAGCTGTTGTGGTTGCAGCCCAGAAGGCAATGGAGCACCACGCAGCTGCTTACACCCCCTTTCCCCTCAGGACTGTGAAGGAGAAAATAAGGCAAAAGACTCAGGAGATAAGAATAGAGAGGGATGACTCGCCCATTACAGTCACGGGCCAAAGACAGACTCGTTAGGGGAAGAAAAAGAACATAAATTTAATGCAGACACTAACTACACTTGACAGACAGTAGGACAGGAGAAGCATTATGCCATCTTCAGAACACTCCCCCACCCTCCCTTCTTCCTAGGCTCAGCTTTGCTCTCGGTATCTCTCCCTCCTCCCCTCAGCGGCGCAGGGAGCAGGGAAGGGGGGGGCGGTCAGTGCCCTCACCGAGGGGGAGGACTCCCTGCGCTCTGCTCCTGCTCCACGTGCTTCCCCTCTCACAGAGACACTCCACCACCATGAACTTTCTCCACGGCCGCAGTGTTTCCCGAGCTGCTCCGCCGTGGCTCCCCCCTGCATGTTGCAGAGCTGAACTACAACGCCGGGGGCTTCTTCCCTCAGAGTCCTCCCGGCCCTCTCCGGGCGCATCCCCCTGCTCCGGCGTGGGGCCCTCCCCGGCTGCAGGTCGGCATCTGCCCCCCCGGTGCCCTCCCCGGGCTGAGGGGGGTCTCTGCCCCGCCACATCTCCCCCCATTCCTCCTCCTTTCTTCCTCTGGCCTCGGTGTTTGCAGAGGTGTCTCCCTCACAGCTCCCCCTCCCACTTTCCCCTTCTGAAACGTGTTCCCACAGAGGCACAACCACCATCACCGACTGCTCAGCCTCGGCCAGAGCTGGGGCTCACTTGGAGCCGGGGGAGCTTCGAGAAGCTTCTCACAGGAGCCCCTCCTGCAGCCCCCTCCCAGCACAACAGCACTAATATTAACGTAGAGTTCACAGAATCACAGAATCACTGAGGTTGGAAAAGCCCCTCGGGATCATCGAGTCCAACCCTCAGCCCGACTCTACAAAGTTCTCCCCTACCCCACATCCCCCACAGCTCATCCCAACGGCCCTGAAACCCCCCCAGGGATGGGGAATGCCCCCTCCCTGGGCAGCCTGTTCCACTCTCGGACCACTCTTGCTGGGAAACATTTTCTCCTCCTGCCCAGCCTGACCCTCCCCTGGGGCAGTTTCCAGCCGTTCCCTCTTGTCCTGTCCCTGATCCCCTGGGAGCAGAGCCCAGCCCCAGCCTCTCTGCAATGTCCTGTCAGGAGCTGCAGAGAGGGATGAGGGCTCCCCTCAGCCTCCTCCTCCTCACCCTGAACACTCCCAGCTCCTTCCCTGGCTCCTCACAGGATTGACTCTCCAGGCCTTTTTTTTGTCAGTCAGGCTGTGCAGAGCCCTGGAACGGGCTATGTAGCACGGTGCCAGAGCAGTTCTCAGACGATACAGCTCTGTCAGCTCCTAATTGTTTTGGTGTTAGTTGCTATCACAACCACTGATGCTGTGTATTGTCTGTGCATTGCCCATTACTGGTTTTCAGTTCCCCGTTGCACTCCGGCAATGGGCTGGTTGGGGCATTAGACCCTGTTTGTGAGGAGCTTTGCAGGGGTCTGGCACCGTTACGGTGGTGCTTTTCAGCCAGGGTCGCTAACTGTCACCATTCCAGTGGCTGACCTGTTCGTAAATACCATTCACCTCTTTCTTGGAGACCTGGAGGACCACGTGTGGCCCGAGGATTCATTTTAATTCATCTCAGAGGTGCCCTGTAGCTTTTGGGCTGTCCTGTGTGCTAGCCATTGGCGTAGACACAAGCACGCAAGCACAACCTCCGGCTCTGTTTGGCTGGCAAAAGGCTCATGAAACCTGAAACCATCCAAAATATGTTGTCAAGCTCACATTTTTGCCACGTGGTCTTTTCTTAACTTCTGCATCCTTCATCTTACTGTTCCGCAGTCAAAGAAGAGGAGAAGCGGAAGTTATTGAAGAGAAGCAGCGAGCTGAAGAGTGAGCATAGACAGTTAGAAGAAAAAGATCGACTTCTCAACAATGCAGTGAAGGTAGGACACCTGACTGGGGACACAGAGCCTCCTGCAGAGGTGTTTGTAAAGAATTTATGCCCAAACCCCAGATATTTTATGGCTAGAAAAACCCAGACAGCTAGAAAATTATTTCTGCTCCCAGCCTACAGCTGTTCAGGTGTGAATGTGTTTCTCTCTGAGGAAAATGACGTGGATTTCCTTTACGCACGAAAACGAGCTGCTTTGGCGGGCTGAGGAGGAGAAACCACCTGAATTCCTGTGGCGCACAAAAAAACCCACAAAACAGCCATGGCTGCTTCCCCTGTAGTGCCATGCACAGCTCTGATCTGCCCAGGGACTTTAAGACACTTCCATTCTCTAGGTGAAAAGTTTAGTCCCAAGCCTATCCTCCAGCTCCTTGTACATTAACTCAAAACTCTTGAGATTAAGTAGAAAATAACCATTTTTCTTTGTCCCGGGGGTTGAATGTTGTAACAACCTCTCCATGACTGGAAATGGATTCACAGTCACTTTCTCCGTGAACTCATTTCAAAGCTCGGTGTTGGCTGGAGACGTCTCCCACACACGCCATGCTCTAAGGACCAGTCTCGGGCACTAATGAACGGGCCAGGTTCAAAGCCCTAATTCCCATCCTCCATGGCTGAAGGAACTTATTTGGGGCTGCCTCACCACGGGCCCACTCTTAAGGGGTAGCTGTTAGCTTGTGTGGCAGCCTCAATAAATATTTGAAACCTCCTTACCCTGGAAAAATCAAAGTGGCAGCTGCAGGAGCAACTGGTCGCTACTTGCCTTACCGCGGCAGTTATCCAGAGGAGGCATGTTAAAATATTCATCCCATTTAAAATAGAGTGGAAAGCAAAGCAATAACTTATTGAAAGGCATCACAGTGGGGAATGTTCCCTGTAAGCGTGTGTAGCCAGCATCAGCACTGACGGAAACAAACACACGTGCGTCTGAAGGAGTGACTCTGGAGTAGGGAATATCTTTAGTGGGTAGGAAGGTGCAGTGGGGTGAGGTGTTTGGAAAAAGAAAAGCATTGGGGGATGCAGTCAGCTGTCGGGCGTGTGTCAGGGGCTGTCAAAATCAGTCAGATTCCTACTTTAAGCGGAATCGGGTGCTTCAGCGGGCAACACTGTCTTATTGAAATGGTAATATCAACCAGTGATTATATGTATTGGAGATATGATATATCCACTCGAAAGGAGAAGAGCAATTAAAGATGTCCCAGCACAGAGCAATTTCGTTTCTGACATTTGCCTTAACAGAGATTTACATTAGCAAGAACGCTCTCGTCCGCACCACAGGCGGAATGGTGTTATTTGGTAAAAACAGAACATGATTTATCCTTCACCCGAGATTTCATCCGTCTAAACCAACCCCTGAGCAGCTCTACTGAGTTTGCTTTTCAAAGAACTTGACTTTCAAGTGAGCATTTCCCACTTGCCCAGGACTGGAGAATGCCCCCCCTCTACCCCGAGGACTCTAGAGCAAAGCCAAAAAGGAGCAGTTGGCAGACAAGTTACTGGTTTTGCCAGACTCTTGGACCCACTGGGAGAAAGAAAACGGGAGGTCTCAGTCACTGGGGAGGCACCTTCCGTGGAGCAGACGGGCTCAGGGTTTTGGGCTGTCACACAGTCCCTCGCAGGGCAGTTGACAGTGTAAAGCTGGGGGGGGGGTGTTGGCTGCAGCAGGACACCCTGGGGAGGGAGAGGAGAATTTACTGATTCTTCCTTATCTCTTCTTGGAGAAGAGGGGGGGCTTGGGATGAAAACATACCTCCCACACAGGTTTGTATGAAAACATTTCAGGTGTTTGTGGGGAGTGGTTTGTTCCACCCCCCAGGAAAAGGGTTTCCTTGTGGCTGCGGTGGCGTAACGGTAGTGTCTTAAGTCAGGTTTTCTGCCTGAAATACACTGACATCATCTTCAGAGAGGCCAACTTACCTACGCAGGACTAACTCCCTAAAATGTGGGACAGGTGCAAACCGCATCACGGTGAGGTTTGCCCCTCGTGTCTACCAGTGCCTTTTGGTAAGATTTAGAGACCTCGCCGGTGCTTGCGGTACTTTCTGGTGGTAATACAGGAATGACACCCCCGTGCCAGCCGTCTGTTGGGAGGGCAGGAGGCGTTTCTGCCCAGCTGCCTCCAGGACGAGGTCAGAAACGTCCTCCAAGTGCGTTTGGACTGGGGTGAGTATTTCACCTCGCGCGGCGCCGGGGGTTACTCCGTTCGTTGAGCTGTGGCCCTGCTGTCCCCCGAGGAGAATACACTTCATCGGAGCAGGACGTGCGCTCAAGACACAAAAGAACGTTTGGAGAGATGTTTGACACCAATTTGAATGTGTTCTCAGTCTTTCTTTCTCTCTCCCCTTCTCTTTATTTGACAGAAATGCTTAGAGCTAAAAACCAGCCTGTTGGCCCAGCAGAGAGGGACTCAGTCGTCACTGGAACGTCTCAAAACCCTCATTAGACTGATACAAAACGAGCAGATGATTCAGGTTACCATGACGACCACCACCACCTCCTCCCTGCTGACTGTCCCCTGGATCAAACCCTCCCCTGCCTCTGCTGCCATGCACAAAGCCTTGCAGCAATCGCAGGGTAACAACTGACGGAGCCGGCTGCCGGAGGGCGAAGGCAAGGGGGGAGAAAAAACTTTGTACCCATGCGCAGAGGAGAGATTAAACGGAAACAAAGGAGGAAAGGAACAATCTCAGTTTTGATACGCGTAGAAACTTGCAAACCAATCAGTCCAGTTTGTAGGTCACTGTGGCAGCAGGTTCCCACAGAGCGGGTTGTGCTGCGGTTTTGTATTTGCCGAGACCTTCAGTGCTCATGAGATTTTTTTGGGTTATGTTGGCCTTAATGTATTTCTGACCGAGGAGGAAGGGGAGAAGTACGGCCGATAGGAAGCGGGATATATCCTTTTGTGGGGCGGCAGACGGGTTTCCAGTTCTGCTTTAAGGGGGAAATTTTCAATGCAAAGAGGTAGTGAGGTAGTAGAAAAGTAGTTGGGCTGAAAGCTGTGTGTGGGAGGGAAATCGGTGAGGGAACCAGAAACTGAACTACTTAGGACTCGACATGGATTCTTACCAGAGGAACAAAGTTGCCCCCGTTGATTCAGGTGACCTGGAGATGGGGGCCGGTTCGACCAGATCGGCGTCACGGACACTCACAGAGCCTTCGAAACAAAAAAAAAAATCTTTTTTTTTTTTTTTTTTTTTTTTTTTCAGTATTATTAGAGTTGAGAATTGCAGATATTTAAATAAAGAAACTGTATGAAGTTAGCATTTCTAGTAAAATATTGAAGTATTTTCATGCTGATGCTTCTGTATATGCGTTCTGAAGTATTTAAAAAAGTATGACTGTAAAACTCCTTACTTTTTTGCAGGTCCTTTTTACTTATTTTGCTATCGGTGTATTTTTCTCATGGAGTTTTTGTGCAAGATTTAGCATAAACCATAATAGTGGATATCTTTGGCAGGTTGGGTTTCATTTTTTAAAGATATTATTTTGGGGGTTTTCTTCTGTTAGTCTTGGATTATTTTTCTTTTTTAAAGAAAAAGAGCAAATAAATATTCTCTTTTTTTTTGTTTCTTGCCAGTACAGATAATATGCCAAAAAGATAACTTTACATTTTTGTACTGCGTTTTTATTGTTAAGAATATGTAACGTGATTTTTTTTTTAAATTATTTATTATTTTTCTTTTTTCTTGCAGAAATATCTGCTGAAATGGTACAGGAAAAAAAAAATAAACAACCCTGCCTCAAGGGGTTGTTTCTCAGACTGGATAATATCAGGAGTTCTGGGGGAGGGACGGGCTGTGGAAAATGTAAAGGGTTTGTTGGGGTGGTTTTTTTTTTTGGAAACTTGATTACTTTGTACTATTTTGTTGGATTTTAGCACGTTGGGGAAGCACTTAGCATTACCCTGAGGAAATCCCAGTGCGCCTGCTTGTTTCACTAGCTAGTCTTCCTGATACTGCAAGGGTCCGCTGGCCCCCCCGCAGGCCACAGGCCCCCCGTCACCCTGCGGCCTGCCCGGGAAGGTAGTGATGGGCACCCCGGTTTTTCTCACCATCACCCCCCCCCGCCCTCAGACACCATCATCTCCGTCGTTTATGAGTTCTCCATCATTTAGCACAACTTAAGGAAAGCAAGAAGCCACCAGAGCACGACTCGAGGCTAGTCTCTCACATCAGCATATCACATGGTGCCGAATATCTTTTTTTTTTTTTTCTTTTTTTTTCTTTTTTTTTGAAAACAAACAAAAACCCATGCGAGGGACTGGCTTTTTTCCGTCGCCCATCACTAGGCAGCACATGGTCCCTTCAACCATTTTCACAACTCCGGGAGAAACTGTGCAGTACTATACAAATCTATTTTAATACACAACACTCGGTTGAACAAGATTTTTATATTCTTTTATTGATGAACAAAGTGAACTAAGTAAAACACAATTGTTATACATTGGTTATTGTATGCCAATTATGCATTCTAACGTGGCTTGCAATGTAAATGTTTTCAGGTTTAATGATTTTTTTTTTCTTCTCAGACAAATTAAAAAAAAAAAGGGAAAAACGTGGAAGGTTGAATATGTGAAGAATTTCTGAAGAAGTGTCTTGGACTGTTAAAAGTAGTTATTTTGAAAAGGGGACTGTCCAGTGGATAGTGTGCATAGAAAAAAAAAAAAAAAGTGTTTGTCTTAAATATGCCAATGTAGTTTTACTTCTTTATGATGCATTAAACTCGATTGACAATTTAATGGTGGTGGTGTCGTGGTGGTACCTGCTGCTGAGGGGATGGGCCCACTGTGCGACCCCTTCCCCGGCCAGACTGCTGATTTCTCCACTGTTGTCTTCAGTTTTCAGATTGAAACGATGCTGGGAGTGTCTACAACGCCCTTCCAGGAAGATGCCCTCTCCTTGAGGCCACCGTGTCAACTCCCTTTCTTGGCTTTCCACCTCTTGGAATAATTTCCTGACCCACCCTTCCCCAGATCCATACGCAGAGGTGTTGGCCAACCTCAGCTCTCTTTCTTTTCCTTGTGCATCTCTTGTGGGTTGAGTTCTCAAAGTCTTCACCAGGATTTAAACACTGCAGTGGGCTTGGCCCAAATGGCCACGAATTGAGTCAGCTTGGGAGCAAGCCTAGGGCTCCGAGACAGAAAAAGGTTCCCACGGGGTCGGACATTGCCGTATAGAATCTATCACAGGGGCTAATGCTTACGCAGAGCAGAAAGAAGATTGAGTGGGGTTTGGTTTTTTTTTTTTCTGGGGGTAGGTGGAAATAATTTTTGTTTGGTTGGGGAGGGGGGTTTGCCTCGTCTTCCCTTCCTGGCAGTGTCACGGTTTAATTTTGGGCTGCAGTTGGCAGGGGCAGCTCCGCGCCACGCCCTTGCTTCCCTTGCGGCTAAACTGCCCCCTCCTCCCTCCTGGTCTCTGCTGTGGGAAGGGCACCCTGATTTTTCCTAACACTGCTTCCAGTTTTAGAAGCCATCACCTCTCCTCCAAACCAGAACTCGTATATAATCATCATCATCCTTCTGCCACCACCCTAACCTATAAACTCAGCGCTGTGCTAACAGACAGGAGCCAATTACAGAGCTCTGCATGTCGCCTTAATAATTAATGCGGTTGCAAGGGAGCGTAGGCTTATGCTAGCCTTTAATCTTCGATAGTAATTTAAATTGTTTTGGTGGAGATTTGTAGGAGCCACGGTAGCCTCTGTGTTCCTTGCTGCGGCACCGGGCATTGTCTTTGAAAAGAACCGGGAGCCGTAGGGTTCCCAGCCTCACCTCCCAAGCGAAAGTTATTTTTACAGCCATGCCAGACTTCACAGCTTCAGAGCTCTTTATTTTAACATGACAGACTGTTTTCTGTGCGTAGGACCTTTTCACATGCCATTAGTTATCTCGCAGAGGAGCTGCTCTGCAAATAGCCATTCAAATGAAACGTGTTGTCTCCGAGCCTGTCAGTTTTAGATTTGCTCCTCTTCAAATGGGAGTTTCGCCTACTCTTCCTTCTCTTGCTGTCTCCCCTTCCTCAGAAATGAGAGGCAAAGGAGCTCTTCTGGCTGTTGGGAAGTAGCATGGAGCAATGCCAACCCTTCCCGGCGAGCAGAACGAGGGACGCTGCCATGGCTCGTTCGCAGCCGGATCTCAGGTGGTTTTGGGCTTCGTACTCTTAGAGGGAGAATCCGCAGCGGCCCCACTGTGCCCTAAAGGCTCAACAATCAGGAAGCAAAGTCAAAACCCCTCTTTTTTTTTTTTAATGCTCAGTTCACGACCACCGGTCGCAATTTTTGCGCAATGGGTTTGACGGTAGGGTTGGTCCACCCGGTGTTTTCTCTTGTGGCAGACGTGTGTGAGGATGGCGGCACGAGCTCCACACCAGCTGTGTTAGGAGTTTGTGCTGCCTGCTGATGTGCCCGTGCTGTTTCCTAGCAGTGTGATGGCCTATTAGGAACACTTACACTTTTAGAAGAGTGCATTATAAACCGATGCATACTTTTTGTTCTGTGTTGTGCAGGTCCTCTGTAGTTGAAAAGGGAGACGTTACACTGAAATGAGTGGCAACAGCCCCATCAGATAAAACTCCACTCACTTTAATCAGGTTTTGCCAACTGCAGCTTATTTTGCTTAGAAAAATGAAGCCTGGCTTCTGAGATCAATCACTAGCGACTGACTGGTGCAAACAGAAAATGCCAGACTCTTGTTTCTGTAAGCCACTTTTAAGTTCACTATGGTGAACATCATTAAAGCACAAGTTGGGTTGTTGGTTTTTTTTTTTCTCTTTTAAAAAAGCAAACAAAAAATTAAATTGTCATGATAGGAAAAAATACTACAAAGCGCGCACAGGCATATAGAGATTCTAGCCAGGGAGAAGGAAAAAAATAAAAAAGATGCTACTGCTCTTTGAAGTTGTTGTTTGCATTTGTACTGGCAGATTGCAGATGACTTCTGTGCTGTGTAGCTGCAGCAGAAATGCTACGCCCCAACCTTTGATTATCAGCCTCGCTCATTAAGCTGTTACCACAGAAATTTTGATTCACTTTTGCATTTCATCTTCAGGCTTGAGCTACAGAAATAAATAGCCTGTCCCTCCAACGTTCATGCTGGAAACATTGCTGACCGACACTCCAGTGTGTTGACAAAGCAACCTTCCAGTTGCCGAGATAGAAACTTTGACACGAACAGCTCAGGTGCTTGTGCCCCCGTGACTGTGGCTCTCGGTGGCCTGCGGGGAGGTGGGCTGGCCCGGCGAGCAGCAGGGCTGGCTCACTCCTTGCACTCCTGAGCTCCAGCACGTTTACCTCCCTCCCAGGGAGCTGAGGGGAAGTGTGAGGAGAGCCCAGGGTGCTGAGCGAGACTCGTGGCCGAGGCACTGCCCTCAAAATCAGCGATGCTGCGTGCATTATTTTCCATTTGAGGATGCTTGGAACAATAATTTTGTGAGTGAGCCGAGTAGGTCTTTAAAAAATTACATCTTCCCCCTCTACACACACACTCCTCATTTTCTGACGTGGGGAGGTTTGCCGCAGCAGCGCAAAGGTGAACGAACAAGCCCCAGGAAGGGTCTTCGTGTCCCTGCCCACGGGCGAGCAAAGCAGCAGGGCAGCACCAGCCACGAGCCTTCCTCCCTTGGTAGCCAAGCACAGGCAACCTGGAGTTCTGAGATCTTTAAAAAACACCCAAACCCCTCTCTCCCCATCACCCAGGACATCTCTTTGTCCCGCTGCCAATGTGCTCAACGTTGGGTCCTGGTCGGGGTCATGGTTTAAGCTGTAGCTGCTGGGAAAAAAAAAAAAAAGTCATTCCACTGTCAGATGTGGATGTGGCCATCCTTCACCCCGATGGGATTTTGTGTCCCTTGCCAGCAGCACTTCACAATTGTCTTCATCTGCTTTGGCCATGGAAATAATTGCTTTGTCTTAGTTAAAAACACAAGAAGAATTAAGAAGGGGCGGCATTAGAAATAAGCGGATGACGCAGCAAATTGAGACACATGGAGTTCTGGTGTGGGTATGATGTTATTGTTTAAAGTGCACTTGCATAACTCAGAAATTTTCTAATCATGAAGGGAAAAAAAAAAAAAAAGCATTGAGCCACTGACTATGTGTTACATTCTTCTTATCTTTCTCAATTACTTCATGGCTGCAGAAAATAAACCACGTCCCACCCACCTAGTTCACTGCATTTGGGGCTGCCACCTGGATCATCACATTCCCGGTCTGGTTCTGAGAGAACGGAGGGAGCCGACGGTGCATCATTTCTAGCTGCCAACTTGCCAGGGGAAACCAAACGCCCGGTTGCAGTGTGGCTTGGGAGGTCCCTTGTCACGGAACTGAACACCCGACGGGCCACAGCCACTGCGGCACGTCCCTGTTGCCATGGCTGTGCTGGCGGGTGGCCCCCCAAGGGAAGAGCTGCCTTAGGGGACATCAGCGGGAGTTTTACCAGCTGAGCAGCTAATCCCTGCGCCATGCGGAGCACTTTGAAGCCACCCCAGTGAAAGCTTTTGCTTACATCAGTATGTTTGTGCTTTACCTGTGATGGCTCCTCTGTTTTATCCAACTTCTCTCGAGCACATGGCTAGACAAGGGCCCGTTTCATGGCTTCCCAATACACCTTGGAAGAACTCCCAATGAGTTTATGTCTCTATCTCCTTTTTTTCTTTTTTTTTTTTTACAGCTCACACATGGCTTTGAATGCTACCCAGGACCTCGTTGTAATGGTTTACTTGCCCAGCCCCATCCTCCTCCTACGAACTGACATTTCCATCGTGCTTTGAAAGAAAAAAATCTGTATGTCATTGAAGGGGAATAGTCAAGCTGGGAGGAGAAAGGAGACGCTGGCACATCCCTTCTTCCTCACGGCCATTGACAGAAGTGCTGGTGACTCCATCACCAGTTTGCCCAGGTATGGGTGTTACCCAGCCCCGCTAGCTGTACCCAGCGGCGAGGTCTGTTCACCCCACCCTGCTCGGCTCCAGGAGGCCGCAGCCTGGTGGAAATGGCTGATTCCAAGGACGTTTCACACCAAATATTTCTACATGTTTTGTCCTCCCAGTGAAATTTGTCTCAGGGTCTCCAACTGTGCTGGGTGCCGCTGCCCTTCCCCTCTCCCACGGCTGAGGGGCTCCGGGAGCCTCGTCCAGCCAGCACCAGCGGGAGGAGAGACACAACCAGCCAAGCACAGGTTGTGTGAATTTGCCTTGAGTTGGGATTTGAGTTGACATCAGCTCTCCTGTGGATTCATGTTGAGCCGTGTTGAAACAGGGCTAGAAAAGGCCGGGGCAGCAACACTGGTTCAGTGAGATTATTCCAGTGCGAAACCATCCACTCTCGTGGTCAAATCTGACATGGTCACAGTAAAGGAGACACCTCTCTGGTGCACAGCTTCTCCCCACTGTTCCTCAAGTCGCTTGGGCTGGAAGAGGGTGCACAAGAGTAGGATTTGGCCCTGGCGGTTTGTCAGTAAGCCTCGCGACCTCTGCAACACGTGGTAAACGTCCTAACCTGGAGCAGTAAACCTGACCGCACACACCGGCAGATCGTGTAACGTGCCCCGACAAGCCTTGCATATATGGGGGCATA